GTCATTAAAAAGAAACTGTGTGCGCTACTGTCGCTACAGTTAGTGGTTAGCTGCGCTACAGGGCTATGCAAGAATTTGCAAATTGGTCACTGTGTGAGCAGCAAAAAGTTTGCATTTGTTGCGTGGGTGCCTTAAAGCGGTCGACCAAATTAGTTGACTAGTCAGCTTTAAATTTTTTGCGACCGTCACATAAAGAGCAGGCAGACACTACACAATTTTAAATTGCAGGGGCGGTCTAATTGAGGGTTCGGTTTCGGGTTTGTGCTGGACGTTGCAATCAGCAGATGCACACACAGCGTTTCGTTCGAAACAAAGCCGGGACAGACGACGACGATTATGTGCGGGCCAAATTGGCGCAGGTTACGCATGTGCCTGAAATCATGAACATGAGGTTGCCGTTCCCTCGTAGTTGTAGTTTACACGCGACGTTCTTTTGATGGATGCAGCGCAGGCTGGCAAACAAGTTGCAGCAGGCTCTTCTCTGCACCTTGCGCCAGAGACTAAGACACGCGCCCTTGCAGCAACAATACTTTAGCGAAAGGAAGTACAAACAGACAATCATTTGAACAATTAGGTAATCCAGAAAACTATCGCCGACAAACGATAAGATAAAGTTGCAGGACCTACAACCTATGTATGTGTTAGGAGTTGCGCACTTACCAAAAATTATATTTTTGTGATGTCCGCCTACACGCGATTTCCAACTGCAATAAAAACTCAAAAATAGGCTGCCCATATCCATCGCATTGTCTATATTTCTATCTACTCCAAATAGCCAATTAATAAAAACGTAATTTCCACAGAGTTTTGCAGGCGACACCTGCTCGGGTAGGAAGGATGGGTCAGCAAATCGAGATAAGAAAATGAACAATTACAAAGGACTTTGACAGCACGTCGGCAAAATTGTAACATTCTCTCACATGAAAGGACGAAACAGAACGCACCAATAAGCACATAAAATGGCCGCCCCAGCCAAGGGTGAGCGTCTGCTTGTTTAGACAAACTTTGCGTGTGTAAAGGGGCACTTGCGATAAATTAAATGTCTGACATAATTATGTCTTAATTGAAAACTTGGATAGAGCAACTTGCTGAATGACAAAACCAAATTTTTGGGTAACGCTATAAAACGCTATAATAAAATATTAAACAACAAAAATATAAATATCATACACAATAATAACAATGCAATAATAAAAAAAAAACTGAAAAAAATTCCGCTTAATGTACAAAAATCAAGGATGCTTACGGTTGCTGTTCTCACAGTTTTTTATACCCTGAACCCATTGAAAATGGGTAAAAAGGGTATAGTGTTCTTGTGCAAATGTAAACGTATATAACAGGCAGAAAGATGCATCTCCGACCTCATAAAGAATATATATTCTTGATCAGCATCAACAGACGATAATCGATAACGTGCTCCGTTTCCAAGCAATCGATAAAAATCGATATCGAAATCATGTTTTTTGAGAAAATATGGTAAATACTAAGAGCTAGAGTCACCAAAAGGTTTATGTTTACTCCAGAATAGTATATATACATATCAAGTATCTTTCATTTTATGCCTATCGCCACCTCCCCGCTACCACATCCTAGCTATAAATAAAGTTAATAACTCAACTTGTATTGCCCACCAATTTAAGCTACAATTTTAATGAAATTAACTTTTTGAAAATATACAAATATTCTATGGTACAATATTATCTTATTGTAGAACATTTTATGAAGATCGGTTTTTGTTTTGTTTTTTGGTATTTCGACGTCGCACGTGTTTGCGATGCACATTCGAAGAGTTTCTGTATACATGTACACACACACATTCATGCGCGTCTGCTTCGACTTCGGTTGTATTGTTTTCACTGCTGCTATTTAAATTACTTTTTTTCTCAACAAAACTCAATTATAGGTGTGGCTGTTGAGTAGAGTCAGTGGCGAGTGGCGCGGTATGTCGCGAGTTCTCGAGTCCTACCGAGGAAATTTTTTTTTTTTTTTTTTGTTGGCTGATGTCAAAGGAATTTTTTTTTAATTTATCTTTATTACTACAAACGAGCGCGTAGCGCGTGCTGCATTTGGTTTTGGGATAATAGGGTTTAGGGTATCCCGACTAGAACCTCTTGTTTTGTTTTTTTTTTAAATTTATCTTTATTAATTCAAACGAGCGTGTTGAGCGAACTGCATTTGGTGTTGGAATAAGAGGGTTCAGGGTATTCCCTAGTCGGGAGCTCCCGGCTAGAACCTCTTACTTGTTTATATTTTCAAACATGAAAACTAACAAAAAACGTAATAAAAAAAAAACGATGCAAAGCTTCATACAACGCACCATATAAAATTCTTCAAGGAGGTACCAAACGCCACTACTTCCTGCTACTAGTAGCTGCTGCTGATGGTTTTCGATCTTGCGCTGCCGTAATTGAATTTTAAAGGCTCGAACGCCTCTTTAAGTCGTTTAGTGCATCATAGAAACGAATCTAATTTTACGCTTACCTATGACAAGACAGCCAGAAAACTTCGTCCCCCATCAAAGTGTTAAAATAATCGTAAAAGTTTGCCCTTTTGGTACAGCATCGTAAAAGTCAAACAGCGTTTGCGCTTGTATCTTTTGCTAAACGCAATATTTTAACGAGCCGCGCCTCTTCAAAATGCGAAACCGAATGAACCAATCTTCCTTCGGCTTGGCATCAGTTTATTAGCCTGTCTTTGGCGGCAGAAAGAAACAGAGTCGAATGCAGTAGCTCGACTAATTGAAAAATTGAAGTTGAACGACGACTTTAACATATCTGAACTGACCATTGAGGCTTAAGGAAAACATACCCATTTATGTCTGACTATTTATTCAAGTTTTAGCATTCCGTACTCCTTATGCTGAAATTTGGGAGATTGCCTTTCTAGGTGTTATTTTATGACTTTGTGCAACGACATAATTAGTATTTTGTCTGGAAAGCATTTGTTATTTTTGGGGATCAGCAAAGGAGAAGCGCCAATTCTCCGCAATATCTTAAAATCTTTGCCGGCTTCAATCCTATGTCAATATGTATATGCACATAAACCCGGCCTTCACTTAACGCTATCGACTCAGTGCTTGAGGAATTCACTCCTCCGTTTCTAGTGAACTAATGTGCCAGTCTGCACACCTTTGCAGACACGTTAAAAATGCGAAGAAAACGGCCTCGTCGGGAATCCAAAATAATCACATCAAGCTAATCAGAGGTTTGCTGGCAGCTGTATATTGTTACAGCCGAAAATCACTTCTGGTTTTTGTCGAGATCAATAAAAAGGTGGATCACTTGTTTACAATCTGGACACACGCGTTCATCGTGCGCAGCTGCTTCGCTCTCGTAATTTGCAGCTACACTTCCCCTACGGCTGGATGCCCTGCTTCTGCACTTACTCCTTCGGATCAGAAGATCTGGTTGTTCTACAGAACTGATGTTGACAAGCCATCAGTGCTCGTTGGTGAGGTGAATGCAATTAATTTGACTTTAGATTACAACTATAAAAAAAACGAGATCAACGCTTAACTTAAGAGGATTTAGGAATATCGATCCGAAATGTATTTAGATCCTTGAAAATGTGTATGCTCTCCATGTCAATCTTAAGCTGCAAGCAATAAATTACTTGATTAAATAACTAACGGCTTTTGTGAATATACAAAACTATTTACAACGTTTTGAAATTTCCTAAATTTATTGCCTTATAAACATAATCAAAATCACATCAAAACAAAAGCCAAAACACGCACGCGACATGCTGCGATGATGATGACGGCAGAATAGGAGGAAAACAAAAGATCGAGCGGACCGCAGTCAACTAGCTTCACAACCCCTAGAATTGCTTGCCATTTTTGGTCTGTCCTTGTTCCATGGTTTACGCTTGGCTAAATTCAGAAGGTGTCAGTATAGGTACAGATTGACATTATTAGAATGCGCATATGCTGCGGTGACATCCCTAAATGCATGCGGTTGTGAATTCTGATTTCATTGTTATTGTTTGCAACGTTACGTCTCATTAAATCAAGTCCTATTGTTGACATAAGCGCTGACATTTCAATGATCTGGTGTAATTGATGCGCCGAAGTAAAAAATTCGCGACAGGTGTCAGCTTTGCCAAGCTGACAGATTATGATTGCAAAGTGGTAGTGTAAGTCCATTGGTAGTTATATGTGGCATCCAGAAGCAGAAGCGGAAACTTTAATGTTCGCACATTTGCAACTCATCAGTTTCACTTATCCTTTCAGTATATCAAGTTCATTCAACTTGTTGTTTGGTCCATGCTTAGCGCCATGTTGTTGCCTTAATCACGATCAATTTGTTTTGGCCCAAGCTTTACAGCTTAAACGCTTGTCGCCCAAGCATTATGAAACTTTTGCTACTGCTGGACCCGCTGACCACCACGTTATTAAGCCATAAAATTGAAAACTTAATATAATTACATAAACGTTGGCCTCAACGCCCCAAGCGTTTGTTCGAAGCCAAAATAACAGCCGATTTTCGGGCACACGCTGCCTACATTGTGGTACTTTGCTCGGTACATATAATGACCAGAGCAAATTTTAACAGTCCTCAGCACGGCGGACAGCCAACCAGCCTGGTAACTGCCCATGGCGCAAAATGGAAATAATAAGAGACTCACACACGGGTCCGGACATGCTGCAGCAGGTTCATATTACTGTCATCGCGATCAACATTAGGTTTTGCTTTATTATTACGAAAATGTTGCATGCAAGTTAATTGTTGATACTTACATATAAGAGATATTGCGAAAACATTTCTCACCTGTCTGAGCAAGTGGTTCGTGCTTTTAAATGTAAATGATAATGGTATAAATATACATATATAAATAAAAGTGTTGGTCCTTACTGACTGACTGATTAAAACACTGCTTAGCTGAATGATTAATTGATTGGTTGGTGCTCAACAACTAAGCTGAATCAACCAAATCGTATATATTTATTTATATTTATATTTTATTGTTTTGAATATCGTCCGTATGAAAAACTATGCTACTTATCCGACTGGTATGTAATTTCTTTAATAATTATATCGAAGTTTAAGTTGAGACATAATTCGAAATTGGTATAAAACAAACTGGAACAGCAACGTTAATTATTGATGTAGCTTATACGACAAACGATGCGGCAAATCAATTATAATTGAATTCCTTTATGAATATGTGCATATTTTACTTTGTATGTATCACAGCATTAAGCCCTCGTTTTCAATATGAGTTTGATAATTGCTTGACCGCTTCTCGTCAACGCGCAAAGACCTCTTGCATTTCGACATCGATAGCTCTCTTCTGTCGGCCGCCAGTCCGGAACTGCTCCTCGATCTCCAGAAGTGTGCGTCTTCGCGTTTCAGGCAGCGCACAGTAGATGAATATCAAACCCAAGAATGACATTATACCAAAGAACACAAAGGCGTTGCTCATGCCAATGGTCGCTTTCAAATCCGGATATATTTTAATGCACAGAAAAGCAAAGAACATACCCACAGCTACAGTAAGACCTGAAGCCGGACCGCGCACTTTTTGAGGAAATAGTTCAGAAATCATAAAGAAAGGCAAGGTGTACAGTCCAAGCGTGCTAAGTACAATGAAACCCACTATTGCAATGACAGGTAGGTATGGTACGCTTTGAAGGATCTCGAACCAACCATAACAAGCCAAAAGAAGCATGGAGACGGTCATGCCGAACGTTGATATGATTCCAGCACGTCGCCGGCCCCACTTTTCGAGGACATAGCCCATGGGACAGGTTGTCAGAACTCTTGCTGTTCCAATGAGCACGGCGCACATGAACGGATCGATGGAGACGCCTGCTTCGGTGGAGATTTGCACAGCGTACACTATAACCACAAATATTCCCGACAGCTGTTGGAACGCAAACAGAGCCATCAAAATAAGCAGCGGCTTGTAGACCTCAGGCAATTTAAGGCAGCTTGAGAATGAGGGTTTCCTCTCACCATCGCGGAGTTGCAGCGACTTTTGTAAAATGTTAAACTCCTCCAATATTTCGGGATGTGTGATGTGTGCTATATTTTAAGTAAGACGTACGCAAATGATTTTCTTTTATTTTAATATATTGACTTACGCGACTTATCCAGCCCACGAAAATAGTTCAACGACTTCTTAGCCTCTTCCACACGTCTCCTAGCCAACAACCAGCTATGCGACTCTGGCAGTGGTATCACACACAGTAGCGCGGCTATCTGATAACCACAGCAAATGAGCGCAATTAGTCGAAAATCATCCCGTATAAAATAGCCAATGCTATAAAGAACCGTAATGCCCAAAGCCACTGATATAGAGGTGCCAAGTATAAGACTTCCACGTAATTTGGGTAAACTTATCTCCGCCGCATAAACTCCAGATGGTGCACTGGCTAGCCCCATGGTAATGCCTGCAAGGCCAAAAAAGTAAATCTCACAACTCTGATTTTGTTTGTTTTTCAAATGAAGTGCTCCTAAAAATGTCATTGGTAAAATGTTGAACAATATAAACACTCAACATTCAAAAATGCGTATAAAGAAGTTGACACTTACCAATAATAAATCGTGACACAAGCAACTGCCAGTAAAAATATACTGAACTTGTTGCACTTGGTGTGGCAAGCAGTGTCCAGGATGTGATACCCAGAATATTCAGTACATAAAGAGTATGTTTGCGTCCAATCCTATCTAGCAGCAGACCCGACAATAGCCCGCCCAATGGACACGACAATGTGTTGATAGAAGCAAACCAGGATGCCTGTGTGGCATTCAAATACACCGTCTCCATTTCGCTTGTCAGCTGGCGCAGTACAATTGTGGGAATAGCTAGGGCCAAACCAGTTGACAGTACGCCCATATTGGCCAGTATAACCATCAATGCCTGTCGACGTACCGCACGTGATTGCTCACCCAAGGGCTTTCTTTTCGGTAACCGATCCAAATCACTAATAATATGTGGATTTTTGTAATCCCTTTTCTTGTGATGACCCTTGTACAGCTGCTGTTGCTCCTCCTCTATTTCATGGTCCATTTTACAGATCCTCTGAAAAAATATTTTAAGATCTTCCCATTATTTCTTCACTTGTATGACCTGTTCATTTTTAGAGTTCATGCTGACTATGCTAGAGATACTGAGATACTAAAGATCATCAAGATGTTTTTACTGTAATAAATGAAGGTATTAAACTAACTTTAAATAGATAAGCAGTTAGCTCCCAATATTTGTTATAAGAGAGCATCAAAATCTTATCAGTATTTATTTCAGATAGCTGCTATAGTGTAGGTATATACCATATTGTACTTTTCATGTCAAATATATGTTTTAGCCTCTGCTTTTATACAATTGCAGTCATGCCTCTGAGTCATAGAGATGCAACATACCCGCTGATAAAACTGAGGAACAGCTTCGCTGGTCTGATATTTTTCTTTATATTCTATTTATTTATATAATGAGTATGAGGAAGTACGAATGTGTACTAAGACAGATCAGACCTGGGTATAGGGTAACTGCTGGTTGAAACCTCTAGACAAGTTTTTTTATTAGTTCGTAATATTATTATCGCTCTCGCTTGAAAATCGTTCAAGGTGAGTCGAGCCGATTAAGTATTTAATGATAACAAATTAATCAAATAAAGGTTCTCTTGTCGAGAGTGTCTGACTGGGACATATCCTGTTCCCAGTTACTCGACAGAAAGTATTCCAAATTTATACATACGAGGCACCTGGATAAATATATACAAATACAAATACCGGTGATGCCACTTGATGACTGTAATGCTAGCGAAGCATACATTTGAATAAGTTCATTATACCTTTTAAACCTATATTGAATAGGTAGGGGGATACAAGATACATGTCCGATAAAATCGGTAGAAGTACTAATAATTCTACACCTGATACACAAGATACTTTTAATGTAATGGATTTTAGTTGTTTATAAATAGCCATGGAAAAAAACAACAATTAAAGAGCCAATCAACTGAATAAACACTAATAAATAATAGACTTGCGTAAACGATTCTCTTCCGATCACAATTAACGGACACTCCAGAGCGGCATGAGTCCCAATAAATTTGTTTTTCATATGTAAAAGCCTTTAATCCAATAGAATACTTCATGTGGTAAATATTAAGTAGTCACTTTCCAAAAATCTTTAAAAACTTGTTCCCCTCAATAAAATGAGAGCTAGAAAACCGGCTTAAATATAACAACGTCACGATTACACGGACCGCACAAAAGATCACTTTTAAACATACTTGCCTGACTTTTCTGTTTTGACAAATGGCGCAGACGCAAACGCTGGCGGCAGCAAAGTATTGGCTATATCGAAAGCGCTCCTTGGCAATCCAACATCAACGAGACGTTACGAACAACTAAAATTAGCTTGCCACGTTAAACGTCTCGCGAACTATAAGTAAGATCCCTCAAATCAAGAGTATGTAGCCATAAAATACCCTACAGAAACTATAGATTGCCGCCAATTACACAAATATATATTATCTGTTCACAAACATTTTTGTTTTACAGTTAACAATTTTGTTGTTAGCAAGTTTTTTAATGTAAAACAATGTTTACAGATTTACTTTTTTGGTGGAATAAATATAGTGTATAGCCAAATATTTAGATAACTTTATACCGAATTATTTCTCCCCATTGAATCCACTTGTACAATACTATTATGCCGCTTCATGCTTTTAATGTACAGGGTATCAAATCTATCGGATTTGTATGAAAAGTTCTCTGATCCTCTCTTTTTATCTCCCGCGGTCTCTCTCTCTCTCCCCTACCGCTTTATCTCTCTCCTTCACTCGACCACAGATGCTTTGCAGCAAGCAATAAAGCAGTGTAGACGTCATCAACCATTCGATTTTTTATGTCATGATCGTTTCAATCGTCGACAAAACGTTTTATCAAAAACAAAAGTTCAATCAATTTTAAAATAAAATGTTATTTTGTAACTCTGACAGCTTTTAATATATACATGTGTATGATCCAACATACAATTGTATAGCTATTTGCTTGTGCCGGCTTATCAAGTTAGTAAAAGCTGCGACCCTCACAGGCAGTCCAAATTATATGCTAATAAATATAAAATAGACACACAAAGTAAAGTTTCCTTCATGTTGTAATATAGTAACTCACGTTATCTATTCAAAGTTATACTTAATCTGTAATAAGTTTGTATATTACACACTTATTCTTCTTCAACCTAGGCTGGCAGATGAAAATTGACTTTAAATAAACGAATTCGCTCTTATCTTTTAAAAAATAAATATAAGTATACATTTACTTGAGCGTAAATATGATAGCTAATATTAATAAAAATAAAAGGCCTGAACCTGTCAATCAACCTGTATTTTTAGTTAGATTAGATAAAAATTATTAAATTGGTCATATAATTTTCAAGTTGATTGAAAGAGCCGTTAGAAGGGCGAGTGTCATAGCAGCGAGAATAATGTGCGTAATTCTACTTATTTCAACAGAGCTGTATTGAATGTTATCGAATAAAAATACTAACTAATGACATTAGACAACACTAACGCAAGTGAAAATATTGGATGCAAATTCCCTTTAGTAGCTAAGAGAATTGCATGTTATTGAAGTCTGTGGAGAACCGGGAACGTGTACACAACACAAACGCCGCGGACACGCGACGCCATTCCAACGAATCATAAACATGGGAACCTTATCAATTCCTCTTGATAATTGCCTATGAACGTACAGACACGCGTAACTAAAAGGAGACTAAGCGGAAAATTATTAGAAAAATCATCATGTTGATTTGTTATGTGTAGTGTTGTCGCAATATTAAAATATTTCCACTTGGTGTGTAAAGAGATTTTGTTTATGTGCCGTTGTGTGTACTCGTAAGCGTGCGGTGTATAAACACATATATATGTTGTACATGCGTGTAGTCCCTCTTTGGCTCTCTGTTTGTGTCTGTCAGTATTCTGCTTAAAAGTTAACGCTAAAAATCAATACAAAAGCAGCTATAATCATATCTGCATTCTCTGCAAATATATTTTGTTATTTTATCATTAAAACTTAATTCAATCAGCGCCTTAACTAGGGCGAAAATGTGCAGTAAATCAAATGGTGTATTTTTACAGGTGTTGAATTCCAGGGCTAAGCTCATGCCTTCGTCGCCCAAATAGTAACCCATTAAATCACACACCAGCACACCAAAAGAAATTACTGTTACTTTAATGAGTAATATGTATTGCATGGCTTGAGCCTGTCAATTATTGTTATAAGTTAGATTAGATAGAAATGATTAAATTATGTGTTACTCGTTTAATGGGCGAGTGGTTGAAAACAGAAGGCTGAGTGTCACAACAACGACAGCAAGGGTTAGTTGGCCCTTGTGCGCAAAACTCTTTCAACAGCACCGCAAACGATGTTATCGAATAGTCTCCAACATTTAGGTATTAGTCAACACTAGATAAATAGAAAATAGGTTGCAAATTTCCCTTTGAAGTTGAGAGAATTGTTTTCCTCAAGTCTATGGAAACCCGGGAACTCGTGAACAACATTAAGGCCTCATACGCGCGCGTGTGAAAATCAAACATACATATATATATACACATGAACCCTAACCAACCAAACACATGGAGGCTTATCAACTGTCTGCGAAAGTAAACATCAAAACAACATAGACGCGTTTTTTACTGAGAGAGCGACTCTGCAGTTACGGCCGCTGTGTTTCATAAATAGCAAAAGCCTTATTATTCTGTTAATTTGTGTGGCACTGTTCAAGTGTTTAACAATATTAATATAGCTTTAACGATGTTAAGAAAACATCTTCCATAATTCGGCTCATTGCGTGAGTGTGCTCTGCTGTGTATAAATACCTGTATGTGTGTATGCCCCGCGTGCGGTCCTCTGTTTGTCTCAGCATCCTGCGAACAAGCTTACGGTTAAAAGCAATGCGAAAGCAGTTAAATTGAAAAGCAAAAATCTTGTACTGTCAACAATCTCTGAATTTTTAATTTTATCATCAAATGGATTGCCGACAGTGCTGAAAGTGAGCCATCCTACATAACCAAAAAAGAAACATTGTAGCTCACAAGCATTTTATGGCAGGCTCCATCTAGAGCATTCGTCACCCAAATGATATAGCCCGTTAAAACGCACACCAGCACAACACAACGAACTACTTTCAAGCGCCTTATACAGCGATTATCCCCGAGTATATGCGTGTGCAGTGAAAATTCCGATTGACAATTCAGGTGAATTTCCTCGTATATCATCAGCAACAACAAATCTAAAACAATAAATAGAAACCAACAACAACAAAAAAGAAAGCTCACTGGCAACGCATCAAAATGACTACAGATTTTTTATTTCCTAAAATTGCGGATTGCTCCTATGTGTCCTGTTACTGGTTAGTAGTACTCTTATGCTGCGTCAGCAGCCCAACCACAACAAAAAATTAAATATATATATAAATGCTTCATTTCTTAAAACTCATTAACAATGATCTCTTTTATTACAAACAAATAAAGTAAACAGTATATTTTGAACATTAGCCTTCTTCTTACATGAACATATGTTTGTATAATCTAAACTACAATATATACAATGCCATATTTTAAAATATTACGTTTTTTTTTTAAATTAAAACGTACGTCCTTTGTTTCTTACTGGGGGAAGTTTTTGTATTTTCATTATGTACCTTGTTTTGTGAGTTATCTGAGTTTTGGCATCAACATTCCAACCATCCGCCTGTTCTATGAATACTTTAATTTAACCCGTGCTCGTTTCGTGCTTTTTGCTCGTTGAAATTACTTGCTCTGCATTTGAATTTACTCATTACTCGAGTCTAACTCTCTTATTCTTCCTATCGCGGCGACGCAACCAGCTCCAAAATTAGGTCAAACGGTCATGTCCGTTAACAAAAGCAGTATCAGCGTATGAGGGTTGCATGGGTTGTAATATTGGGCTGGCCACGGAGGGATTTCGTTTGTTGCTTTTTTATTATCGCGTGTAAAAGGCGCGTTTTACCTATAAAAAGGCTACAAACGACAACAAGAAAAGCAGAAACGAATCAATACACATACATATAACACATTACTTAGTATTGTGCATAATAGTGTTCTTATTACAATTAGAAATGTAAATTGCAAAAATTGTGCGTTGGCAGGCTACAGCGCGCAACAAAATACTGTGAAGCCTTAAAACCTGTTATACATTCTTATCTACATACATACATATACTAAGCACAACATAACTATTAACGAAAAACATCAATAAAGTAAAGGTGTAATAAGGTTACATATGTATGCATATTAACATCGAATTTTCCCTAGCTCGCAAAAACAGTTTGTTAATTATTTTGTCAAATGCAAGTGTACTAACATTTGCACTCAGATTTAACAAAATTGTTTGTGTCTCATGTACAATGTTGCAATAAAATAAACACTTGCGCGCTGTCCTGCTTGTTCTTTCTCTGTCATGCGCTCTGCCTTTCTCTCTGCGGCTCTTGTGCTCTCTATTCAGCTCATTTGCTCTTTACTCTGCTCATTCTCTCTCTTGTTCTCTCACTCTCTTCTTCGCGCTATGTAAATTAGGGAAGCATTTAAATAACTTTTACAATGTGTGCTAACCATTAAACACGAGGTAAGCATGTAGTCGCCTTCTTAGATTCAAACTAATAAGTTTAAGCGTCAGCTTCCCATATTGATTTGATATCACACCCAACCTCTGAAAATTGACAGGCTATTTTGATTCTTACCGCGAAAGTAATTTTTAAACCACAGGAAATGTAAATAGCTGATTATATTACATATCTGTATTTATGTAAAATTACCCCCATCCAACTGTTGCTCATCAGTTTTACATTGGCAAGCATACAACGGCTCAATTTATTGAATATGTTTGTAAGTAGCAAATAATTTTTTTGTTTTATACCCTAATCCAAATCAATAGCGCATTCTTGCTAACTTTTGTTCCTTACCATCAAAAGTCGTGAAAATAAAAAAAAATTTTAAATATTGGAACCTTAAATGTAATACAAAAATTTACTTGTTCTACATTTTTACTGAAGAACAACTACAAAACTTCTTAGAAGTGAACGCACTGAAATACACACACACAATGTCGTCATTATCTTTGCGTATTCTATAACACGAACACACACTGCAAGTGTGCTTATCTATATTATATAAGGGTTCATTCGTTTACAGCGAGGAGAACGTTTGGAAGTTATGTGAGCAGGTTAAACGCACGCGCCCTGAGGAGTTGAGCAAATGCTATGCAGTATTTGTGTCGAATGAGGGGCGAACTGTACCGCTCTGGCGCCAAAAAGCCGGACGTGGCGATGATCAAGTTGTGATATGGGTAATTCGTCTTGCAAAACCATACATATACGTTTATACACTGCACGCTAATACTTCATTTTATTGACAGGACTATCATGTCTTCTTTATGCACAATCCCTTGCCCAACCGCTGTTTGGTATTCGATTTGGATACCACACTACCATTTCCCACATATTTTCATAAATACGTTACAGAGACTTTCCGGTCCGATCTCGCACTGCGACCGGAGCATCACAGGTAAATAATGCATAAAACTGATGCCTACTATAAGCTAAAATTTCTTATTTTTCCAGATTTTTCAGAGTCATTCCCGCAGATACATATCTAATTGAGTTCTCATCGGATCGTCGACACATGCGTCGACCAGATGGTAGCTGGATTAAGCCGCCACCCTCATATCCACCCATTCTTTCGAACAGTAAAATTATGTTCCTGTTATCACTTACACATTAATTCTAATTGTTTTTGTTTTTGTAGCTAACTTGCATTGTTTGGGTGACTTCATATGTATGAGCGCTGGTAAAGGACCAGGTGCCGTTTACAGCCTCTCTGAGTTTGTGCAAAACTTTTATAAATCGCCGCATGTTGGCGTGCAGCAGAACAAGTAAATTATCAATAACCACGTATACATATACTGACATCAGCCTAAAAAAAAGCATAACTATGTTAGAAAGTTTGTGTTAATGTCAAACTCGATGTCACAAACGATATGCATTCAATCACAAAACAGTTAATTATAAATTGCATACATATTATATATACTTATATACATATATAACAAACATATATATATAAATATAATATAATGTATTTTTATAGTCAGGTTAATATTAAATAAGAAAAATCTGTAAGTAAATAAACAATTACTCTTCCGACTCCTTCAACACCCATCTGTAACCAAATTAAATTTCACACTGATTAAATTATGCTTATACGTATTTTATTCTATGTATGTATTCAAAGGGCGAGATAAAACCTAAGAGCTAAGATTTTAATTCGTTACTTTTTTTTATGACATTCGAACAACAAAATTAAAATTAAAAATAAAATACACTATTACGATTAAAATTTAAATGTTAAAATAAATGTTCATTCATATATTCCAATTCAAAATGCATATACACACTAACTTACACTTTATAAATCAGAAATCAATCTTAAAGTAAACACAAAGCATTGGTAAACGTCGTATGTATTACCCACTAATTAAATTTAATGGTAACTCATTTTATATTTTTCAAATGGCATAGCAAATTTAATTTAAAATGATGCAAAAACAAAAGCCATCTTAAACAGTTTTTATACTGAATACGGAACATGACAGCTCAAGCACCAATTTAGCGATGCCTTAGTGTATAATTTCCTTAGTCATTTTTATATACTTTGTTGTAATTACATATTGCATACTAATTTAATATTTGTGACACGCAAAGACTGATTCATTATACGCTCTACGGTACTAGTAAAAGGTAGGCAGAGCCACCTCAATTTACAACGCAAACACCCAGTAGTGGTAAATTCACATCATCAAATCGGCAAATTCTAATTTATTACTTTTGGTTTTATTACTAAAAATAAGAACTTCCAACTCTGTGCTTAGCAAGCTTAACCCTTAAACTGTTACATTTAATAAGTTAACGATGTTCGTATTTTTATTACAAAGTAATTTTTACTCAATTTTATAAGACTCAACATAAACAAATAATAAGTAATACAACTTATATAAAAATATTAATGTATAATTCTTACATAAAATGCTGTGCAGTCTCAAAGTTAAACCTACACTTTTAATTATATAACTTAAAACAAAATATTTATTAACAAAACTATTAAAAGTTTAAAACGTCACTTGACGCTGGCAAAACTTTTGTTGCCTATGCTATGTGTAAGTAACATAGGCAATGTTTGACACTTTGCTTAACTTGCTTATCACTCTCCTATAATAAAAGGATGCAATCTTGTACAGCTTCTTTATTTCTAAACAAAATAAAAGCACAAAAAAACCTTGATAAAAATATATATGCATGAATACTATAAATATATGCTTGTATGGATTGGGCAAATTTGTAAAGATTCTTCTCTTCCCGGTTTTCAAATCCTACATAAAATATAATATTGGGAAAATATTATGTTAATATCGTTATGAAATATTATAAATGTATTCATACTATAAGCAAACACTATTAAATTGATGCGTCTTGTTACTCTTTTTATAATAATGCATATGACATAAAGTACCGCATTAAGATGCTGATGAATGTTTACAAAGTCAACATAGCCAATACTATTTTCGATCATATCATAAGCACATGTATTTATTACATATAAATTGATTTATATTGTTTTTGGTTGAACTTTTCGTGTTAGACAACGATCAGCTGAACCGGTTCTTACTACATTATATAAAAACAAAGCGTACACATATATTTGTACTATAAAAATGCATTAAAATTGTCTTACACACTTGGTTCAAATTTGTGTACACCAAAAAGCATCCTGTAGTTAGATAAATATTTTAGGGGAATAAATGAAAAGCAGGTAAGAACTTTGGGTCAAATACAACCCATTCGGCAAAACTGTTTAAAATAGTATATATAAAAAGATGCAACTTAAAGGCAGTGAGCAACGTACCGCAAGTTAAAAATCTTATAGCGGGAGTTAGCGTGAGCCAAAGTACCGATAAACAAACTGACAACCAACAAACATTGTTCAAAACCTGCGTGCATGCTTCACTTTGTGAATTAACGGTAAAAATGTGCCCAATGCATGCCGTATTATCATAATTCGTTTGCTAAATATGTGTATACACACTTTTAACATAACATAACATTAATGGCAATAGAAACGGCCGACTGTATTACATATTTAAAAATCGAGAAACAAGAATCTCAATATTTCAATAAAACCGAAATAACCTAATACATGTATTGGCTCTAGTCTGTTGTATTATTTATATGTATTATCTTACAAATTATCTATCGAACAAATCATGAATTGTACTATCGTATTATTTTTAAATATTTTTGCAAATCTGTAGTATTTATACAATTTATACTGAGTCAATGAAATGAAATTGTACTTTCTAATCTACGAAAATGTGACGCGAAAAAAATGCTAATAAATATAATTCACATTTTAAAGTTAACATACTTAACTTTAACCTTTATTTTAATATGTTTAGCTAGAAAATCATATCGTAAATAAGTAAGTTGTTTTTTTATAGTAACATGCGACGTGTTACAACCAATCCTGCACTTGGAAAACAATATTTCGTGGTTTGTTTGGTTGGTGCAACTGTCAATTTGGCATGGGAAACATACTAGCAATTAAAAATTGTAGTTTATGAATTCTGGTTACGTTCGAATTAATAGTAAGACCTATTCTAGATGTATATTGTTGGTCCTGACAACCTGACGAGATTACTATCGTACGAGGTTTATATTCCGATCGTTTCCCCATTGAGAGCATTCGATTAGTTTTTATATCGATAGTTCAACCGGCATTTAACTAGAGAAATGTATGTAATTAGCATCTCTAATTTTAATTATATTCAGTTGCCCTGCCATGGCCAGAATTTTAATAATAATGTGTACCACCTTTAAGTATCAAATATTCTTTGAGTTTTCGATTCCTCTTCAAAAACTCAATTCGACAATATACACATGGACTCGTACTATTTCCGCCTAGACAAATAATGGCATCGATAATGCTCACTACGAAGATATAAATGGCGTCCCATCTTGGACATTGTGAAATTTAAATAAGGTAAACTTACGAGTTCGCAAACATAGTTTATAAATAAGGCGGTCTCAAAGCTGTTTCCCTATGTACAGGCCGCCAAGGACAACCGGACACATTTTACTATGACGACTGGTGCAAATAAAAACGCCGCTGCTGCTGTTCATCAAAGAGCTCTTACACTGTTTTTTGCCTAGACAAACAATAGTATCGGTACTGCTTAGTCCGCATATATAAATGGCGTCCCATCTTGGTCATTGTGAAATTAAAATAAGGAAAGTTTACGAGTTTGAAAACATTGTTTATAAATAAAGCAGTCACATAACTGTTTCCCTATTGGCATAGGGCAGGCCGCCATAAGGCAACCGGACACATTTTTCTTTTTAAGTTGAGTGCATCCGAGCACAATATATGTCAGCAGTGGAATGAAATTCCTCCGTGACTTGCTTTATTCTTTTCCGTTACTTTCACTTTAGCAACATATAAGAACATTATTTGGCAACATTGTATCCTAACTCTATAAACATGTTGTTAGACACATAGAATGTGTCTGTATTAAACTTACGTACTAAATACAATAAATACTTATACTAAAATACTAAAAGTACTAATTCCCTAATAATACTAAATTGCTTTAACAACTAAAAACTGTCAGTATGGCAACACTGCATAGGTGGCAACGCTACGCAATATACAGTTAGATTTGACTACATATGCTCTGCGTATAAATTTTTTTTCCCGTCGCAACGTGGAAATCGAAAACTTTTTAACAGAGGTAAGTCGCATTTTTGCAAACATTAATTTCTTAACATATAACTAATTATAAATGTTTCTTTTTACAGATTTATATCGAATTGCTATCAGATTTGATAATTGCGCTCAGAGGTCGCGCTTTTCTATGCGCCAGACGCCGCCAGCCATGTACAGGCCGCCACACAGGCGCCGACGCATTCATTTGCTGATGCGCAATAAGCCTCGCATGGGCATTTGACCGCATCCGACGACGCCTCCGCTGGCTTATTGGATTGTGCTGCCGCTTCTCATGGACACCACTATGCAAACAGGAGTCGCTGCATATAAAAGTGTCGTGCACATGGTGTGCATTTTGGATTCCATATGGGCCGCGCTGAGTCGGCCAGTTTGGACTTCTTCGAGGCCGGAGCATGGCCATTGACCATTGCAGCTCCGTCTGCAGGGGCGCCCGCACGAGTTCCGCGTGTGCTGGGAGGCAGGTACGTGCTCTTTTCCTACATTGCGGAGTCCGTCTAAATTGCCTTTTTCTTTTTTCAGGTATGACTACTGTGAAAAACATCGGATATGGCCCGGCCATAGCCAGTGCCTCCTGGCCGATACGCTGCTGCTGCCACTGCCGCTTGTCAGGCAGCAGCTCATCTTGGAGCGGCCCTTGCAGTCGCCTCCGAATTGACGCCATTTGGTAAGTGCATCTACGTTTTGCAGGCAGCATTAAATTCTCATCCTTTCGCTTTACAGGCGTCGATTGTCGTTGCTGCAAATCATGCTCGGTCATCGATGGCGGCCGTGATGGCCCAGGCTGCCCCCGCACAGGCACCAGCTGCATTTCCAGCTCCTCAGGGGGGCCAGGCTCCATCAGCTGCTGCGTCGTTGGACATCTGTCAACCTGGCGCTCCACAATGAGCCCAGGCATATCCAGTGGCAACTGCTCGGAATTTGTATTGTTTTGCCGCCGCTCAGGAAGCGAATCAGGCTGCAGTTGCTGCTGCACCGTTGGATGGACATAGTTATGCCACCGCGGGGAAAGCGGGCCAGGCTCAGTCTCAGGCTGCAACGAGGGATGTAGATCATTTTGCCGCCGCAGGGAGAGCGGGCCAGGCTGTACTATATAGACCAGCGAGGGATATAAGTTATTTTGCCGCCGCAAGGAGAGCGGGCCAGGCTGTACTGAGTGTACCAACGAGGGATTCAATTCAGCCTTCTTCTGCAGGTAAGTTGACAAGAACAATTCAAATTCATCATTATCAAAATCACTATCATTATCATTATTTACATTGTTAGTATAAGTAGCATTTGTATTGTTAGTGCTGCTGCCGCATAGCCGTTGGCCATGCTGCATTTGCAGCTCATTTGTATTCAGCTGCACTGACTCATTGTCTGCGAGCCGCTGCTGCATTTCAATTTGAATATTATTTCCTGCAATATTGAGCGCATCATCCATCTCCTGTCCCAGTGCCTGCTCCAACATATCAAGGCTGCGCTCTAGTTGCAATTCATCGGTATCTATAGCCGATTGTATTATGGCCTCTGGGGCCGGCTCTGCCGTCCGTATTAGTTCCTGATGCTGCCGCTGCAAGTGTTCGTGCTGCAGGTCAGGTAGAATTAGTATCTGTGGTGGCTGGTTGTCGATTAGCAGCATTAAGTTTTCGCGAGTTATTGTGCCCGCTTTAAGTTTGCGACGAAGCATGTTTATTGTGCATTCATCAAAACGTTTTGGAGGCCCCATAGCTCGCCTCCGTTCCCACTCGGCAAGCATAGCGGCCCTCCTTTCAGCCTCTTGCTCATCTTCTTCTAGCTGCAACAGCGTTGGCAACCTCTCCTCAGCTACCTCTCTCTGCTGTGTTAACTGCTGCTGCCGTAGTGGCGCCATGAATCTATCCAATTGCTCCGTGTACCTGGGCCTTAGTAGCCGCACTGGTATAAATGGTTCTAGTAACAGTTTCCGAGCTTCAATGTTCGGATGACAGCTTAGTGATCGCTAGCTATCTATCGCTAGCCAACTGATATACTTCATCTACGCTTTTTATCCCATACGCATCCCTCAACGTCTTATTCCTTGTATACCAACTGGCATTCATGCATGTCCGCAAGATTTTATTCTGCATTGTTTCTATCCTTTTTATTTGCCTATTTGATACCAATGCTCCCCATACAGGAAGCGCGTATTGCCATATAGGTGCGATCAGCTGCTTATATACCACAGCCTTGCAATTTCTAGTTAGCCTACTATTTTTTCCCAGCAACCAGTCCAGCTTTTTGTGTACTCCACCCAGCCTTATGCAAAGCTGAGTTATGTGTATATTCAGTGTCAGTTTTCTATCCAATACTAAGCCCAAGTATCGGTGCCGCCCATTATTTTCGATCGTTTGTCCATTTATCTTTGGACACAGCCCTACTAGTGTCACATCCAGCCTCCGCGTGCTAAACATTACATGCGCTGTTTTGCTACTATTTATCTTTATGCACCATTTCTCTGCCCAACGCATCAAATGTATTAAGTATTTTTCATTTAAATTCACTGCCTCATCAGCATATGTTGACAGCTGCATCTTATTGGGTTCGAACGATGCATATTCTTTCATTACAAGTCTAGGTAGTGGCATGTCTGAAGAAAATATTGTATATAATATAGGCCCGAGCACACTGCCCTGGGGTACACCTGCACACACTTTTCCAGGCCTTGACTTTATGCCGTCATTGCATTTTACAATAAATATTCGCTCAGCCAAGTAGCTTTCCAGCACATTATACAGTGCAAGTGGCAGCAATTTTATTAATTTTACTAATAGCCCAGCGTGCCATACACGGTCAAACGCTTCGCTGATATCTATAAATACAGCCGAGCAATATTGTCGCTTCTCGTAAGCATTCAATATATATTGAGTCACACGAGCCAGCTGCTGCTCGGTACCATGGTTTTTTCTGAACTCAAATTGGTGGCTTGGTATAGCATTTGCAAACTCTTTGGATTCGAATAGCCTATTCAGCAGCAGTTTCTCAAACAATTTTGAGAAACCTGCTAGTAGACTAATTGGTCTATATGACGATATCTCTCCTGTATTTTTACCAGGCTTTAATACCATACTGATCTCTGCACATTTCCATTGCCTAGGAAAAAGCCCATACCTCAATATACAATTGAATATAAGTACTAAGTATATAACCGCCTTCTCAGGCAATGATTTAATAACCCTATTGTCAATATTGTCCATGCCAGGAGACTTATTTAACTCTAGCATATCTATCTCTAGCATAGTCTCGCTAACACTTATCGGGCGAAATGGCTGAACGGACATTCTATCTGTATTCTCTTCGAATTGCTCCAGCTTTTTTCGCTTTAGCTCTAATAGCTCATCTGCAATCAGGTTACGCACAACATGTGTATTTGTCAGATTTGGTGTGAAGCGTTTCTCCAAATGACATGCAAACGCCTCAGCCTTCTCCTCATTACTTCGTGTCCACGTTATATTGCCGTTTATCCTACAACTACTGCCACTAGCTATCTCTAACTTTAGCGGCCAATTTGGTTGCGGCTGCCTTTTCAAATTATTTGTTAGCCTCCATAATTTTTGCATTTTATAGCGATCCTGAACATCAATCTGCTTCAATAACTCATTCATAGTATTCACTTTTGACAAACATAGCTCTTTCTTTAGCCGATTTTGTACTTGTCTATACATTTTTCTTGCATTCGGACAACGCAAAAGCATTAATTGCCTTTTATATACCTGCTTCATCTTTATCAGCCCTCGTAAGTGCCCATTAAGCCTATATTGTCCGCTATTCGTTCGTCGGTACAGTTTATCCTGCCCATGCCGCTGTTCTTGTATTGAGTCTGCTGCTGCCTCGTATATATTCTTATTTAAAATGTCAACAGCGTCCTCTATATCGGCGCCTGATCTTATCTCAATGTTTAGCAATATGCATCGATTTAAGTACTCTTGGAACTCTTTTATGTTCGCATTCACTGGCAGCAATATTTTACGATTTCCTTTCATCATATTAACAACATTTAGCCCTTCTATGCCCATTTCAATATGAACAGGCAAGTGGTCCGAATCTTAGTCTGTCGTCGTATACGTTCTTAGTCGCGCATTTTGTAGTCCGCCATATACGGCAAAGTCAATTGCCGACGGCATTTTCCGCCTGTCATATGCTTAGCGTTCCAATCCCCACATAGCATAAAGCCAGATGAGCCATTGCATCCATCGTCTATATTTTTGAATAGCCTGCTAAATTGCTCTGAAGACCATTTAGGCTGTGGTGGGCAGTATATAGCTGCAATTATTATTATATTTTTATTCCTCTCACTACTCATCAAGGCAATTGGAGCACACTGCATAAAATTTTCCGATATTGGCTGCAAAGCGATATGCTTAATATCATTTTTAACTAAGATTGCTACACCTCCACTTTTGTAGTTATCTGGATGGGTAGCAAAGTATGTGAGGTACCCATTAATCTTCAAAACATTCGAGCTAATAATTGTATTTGCGCTAGTATTAATACGAGTCTCTATTATCATCATTATATCAATTTTATGGCGTTGCATAAACAGTTCTAATTCTAGTAACTTATTCCCCACCCCTGCAGCATTCCAGTAGGCAATCCTAAAGGGGCTGCCTACCTGATTGCCACTATATGCATCTAAGTTGCTATTAGTGGTAGAAGTTGTATTCAAATTATTAGGGCTACTATTCAGATTATTCATTATTATTCGTGTCAGTGGCTTCATACATAGTGTGACTGCCTGCCATTTGACAATCGCTATCAATAGGTTTATTTTCTACAATGGTACTATTCTGTATAGGTATGGGCATATGTAAAGGTTGGGCATTTTTAAACGTATTGGCGACAAATTTAATTAATACATTTAGTAAATTATCAATCTTTTTACCCATCTCCTCGACGATATTGGCGTTCCGCTCCAACGCTCTCATAAGCGGACAATCAATCTGTGGAGTTTGGTGTTGCTGCTGTTGTTGTGATTGCTCGTTGTGTGTTGGCACCTGTATAATTCGCGTGGGCTGTTGTTGTTGTTGGGTTTGTTGACTTGGAAAGCGCTGCTGTTGGTTTTTTTTTTTTCTTTCCTTTTTGAAAGACGCACTAATACTAAGCTTATCCCCATTTGCGCGATTTCACCTCTACCTGTCCAGCAGGAGTGGTGAATTGCACAGCTGGGGATGAGCATCTTTATTCAATTGATATCTTAAATATTATAATTGAATTTGTTGGTGCCACAATTCTGGCTCTAACTGAGCAAAACTTATACTATAAGTATACATTTTTATTAGTGTAAGGTAAGTAGTAGTAATATTAATTAATTATATTTTAAAATTGTTTTATTTTCAGCAGGATTTGAGTAGATGACCTTCAGGCTTCAAGTGGCAGAGGCAATTTTCGTTGCTCACGAGGTCACGATTGGAGGCGACCAGAAGACTACAACAGCCTTATTATGGCAGGCAGCACGCAGCATCCAGTATTTCTGTGTCCGATGTATCGGAAGGTGTGTTGCCGGCCGTATTTAGCGTTGTGGCACGTGCGGAGTGGCTAGTCGCTGCTAGTGCAGAGTTGTCTGGTGTCTGGTAAGTGACGTTGTTGTTGTTGTGAGCTGAACTTTCAATATGTTCTTCGATTGTTTCAGGTGGAATTTTTGTTGCAGGCGTTGCAGCAGGCGCAGGTCTTGGCAATGCCTGGATGCCACTGTGTCCAACAGCAGGGAGTGTCTTACTGACTGCGGGTGTCGCTAGTACTGGCGGCGCCTGATCGTTCTCCACCGTGCCGCGGTCTTCGATGGTTGTGTGAGCTGTGCCTGTCTTGTGTGTCAGAGCTGTATTAATGTTTTGTTTCCTTCTTCTTTCAGATGTATTTGGAGTCACAGACGTTTGTGCAACCAGAGGACCTGGTGCTGAGAAGCTGGCGTTGTGCTCGGGAGCCCTTGGTGCATTTACAGCCGCACGTGGCAAGATGGCTGGTAAAGTTAGTATGGCCACCGCCAGGCCAGGCGACTCAGCTACAAAGTGCGGCGACCTGTCCGGTGTAGAAGCCCGTACATCGTTGACTGCAGATGGACTCGAGTTGACAGTCGTTGCAATTGTGTGACTAGCAGCAGCGGCTGTGGAGCCTGCCGCTGTGTCCGGTGTATCGGAAGGTGTGCTGCCGGCCGTAGTTAGTGTTGTGGCACGTGCGTAGTGGCTAGTTGCTGCTAGTGCAGAATTATCTGGTGTCTGGTAAGTAACGTTGTTGTTGTTATTGTGAGCTGAACTTTCAATATGTTCTTCATTTGTTTCAGGTGGAATTATTGTTGCAGGCGTTGCAGCAGCTACAGGTGTTGGCAATGCCTGGATGCCAGTGTGTCCAACAGCAGGTGGTGCCTTACTGTCTGCGGGTGCCGCTAGTGCTGGCGGTACCTGATCGGTCTCCTCCAAGCTGCGGTCTTCGATGGTTGTGTGAGCTGTGCCTGTCTTGTGTGTCGGAGCTGTATTAACGTTTTGCTTCCTTCTTCTTGCAGGTGTATTTGGAGTCACAGGCGTTTGTGAAACCGGAGGACCTGGTGCTGAGAAGCTGGCGTTGTGCTCGGGAGCATTTGGTGCGTTTACAGCCGCACGTGGCAAGATGGCTGGTAAAGTTAGTATGGCCACAGCCAGGCCAGGCGACTCAGCTACAAAGTGCGGCGACCTGTCCGGTGCAGAAGCCCGTACATCGTTGACTGCAGATGGACTCGAGTTGACAGTCGTTGCAATTGTGTGCCTAGCAGCAGCGGCTGTGGAGCCTGCCGCTGTGTCCGGTGTATCGGAAGGTGTGCTGCCGGCCGTAGTTAGTGTTGTGGCACGTGCGTAGTGGCTAGTTGCTGCTAGTGCAGAATTATCTGGTGTCTGGTAAGTAACGTTGTTGTTGTTATTGTGAGCTGAACTTTCAATATGTTCTTCATTTGTTTCAGGTGGAGTTATTGTTGCAGGCGTTGCAGCAGCTACAGGTCTTGGCAATGCCTGGATGCCACTGTGTCCAACAGCAAGGGGTGCCTTACTGACTGCGGGTGCCGCTAGCGGTGTCTGATCAGTCTCCACCGAGCCGCGGTCTTCGTTGGTTGTGTGAGCTGTGCCTGTCATGTGTGTCTGAGCTGTATTAACGTTTTGCTTCCTTCTTCTTTCAGTTGAATTTAGGGTCACAGACGCTTGTGCAACTAGAGGACCTGATGCTGAGAAGCTGGCGTTGTGCTCAGGAGCACTTGGTGCGTTTACAGCCGCACGTGGCAAGAAGGCTGGTAAAGTTAGTATGGCCACCGCCAGGTCAGGCGACTCAGCCACAGCACTAGGAGCACATTTTCGGGTCCACATCTTTTTGTAACCCGTCGATTTTCAATTTGTTTGAATGCCAATTTAGAATAGGGATTCGTACAAATTTAAAAAGATATAATATTTGAAAATCAGACTTTATTTGCCCGAGAAACTCAAAAAAAAATCATCAAAAAAGGTTTGATTTTCGAACCGACCCCGATTTTGATAAAAAACGTGATGTAACCCCTTGCCATTTTGGCCGATTTGGGTCAAAATTTAGATTTTCTATTTTTTGATGCCAGTGGATAGTACTGATCCTTACGAGTCCAAAATGGTATAAAATTTGAAAATCGGACATTATTTGGCCGAGATATTCAAACAAATCATAAGGAAAGGTTGACCTTACAAACGAATCATTTTCGGGTCTACATCTTTTTGTAACCCGTCGATTTTCAATTTGTTTGAATGCCAATTGATAATAGGGATTCGTACAAATTCAAAAAGGTATAACATTTGAAAATCATACTTTATTTGCCCGAGAAACTCAAAAATAATCATCAAAAAAGGTTTGATTTTCGAACCGACCCCGATTTTGATAAAAAACGTGATGTAACCCCTTGCCATTTTGGCCGATTTGGGTCAAAATTTAGTTTTTCTATTTTTTGATGCCAGTGGATAGTACTGATCCTTACGCGTCCAAAATGGTATAAAATTTGAAAATCTGACATTATTTGGCCGAGATATTCAAAAAAATCATAAGGAACGGTTGACTTTACAAACGAATCATTTTCGGGTCCACATCTTTTTGTAACCCGTCGATTTTCAATTTGTTTGAATGCCAATTGATAATAGGGATTCGTACAAATTCAAAAAGGTATAATATTTGAAAATCAGACTTTATTTGCCCGAGAAACTCAAAAATAATCAACAAAAAAGGTTTGATTTTCGAACCGACCTCGATTTTGATAAAAAACGTGATGTAACCCCTTGCCATTTTGGCCGATTTGGGTCAAAATTTAGTTTTTCTATTTTTTGATGCCAGTGGATAGTACTGATCCTTACGAGTCCAAAATGGTATAAAATTTGAAAATCTGACATTATTTGGCCGAGATATTCAAAAAAATCATAAGGAACGGTTGACTTTACAAACGAATCATTTTCGGGTCCACATCTTTTTGTAACCCGTCGATTTTCAATTTGTTTGAATGCCAATTGATAATAGGGATTCGTACAAATTCAAAAAGGTATAATATTTGAAAATCAGACTTTATTTGCCCGAGAAACTCAAAAATAATCATCAAAAAAGGTTTGATTTTCGAACCGACCCCGATTTTGATAAAAAACGTGATGTAACCCCTTGCCATTTTGGCCGATTTGGGTCAAAATTTAGAATTTCTATTTTTTGATGCCAGTGGATAGTACTGATCCTTACGAGTCCAAAATGGTATAAAATTTGAAAATCGGACATTATTTGGCCGAGATATTCAAAAAAATCATAAGGAAAGGTTGACTTTACAAACGAATCATTTTCGGGTCCACATCTTTTTGTAACCCGTCGATTTTCAATTTGTTTGAATGCCAATTGATAATAGGGATTCGTACAAATTCAAAAAGGTATAACATTTGAAAATCATACTTTATTTGCCCGAGAAACTCAAAAATAATCATCAAAAAAGGTTTGATTTTCGAACCGACCCCGATTTTGATAAAAAACGTGATGTAACCCCTTGCCATTTTGGCCGATTTGGGTCAAAATTTAGTTTTTCTATTTTTTGATGCCAGTGGATAGTACTGATCCTTACGAGTCCAAAATGGTATAAAATTTGAAAATCTGACATTATTTGGCCGAGATATTCAAAAAAATCATAAGGAACGGTTGACTTTACAAACGAATCATTTTCGGGTCCACATCTTTTTGTAACCCGTCGATTTTCAATTTGTTTGAATGCCAATTGATAATAGGGATTCGTACAAATTCAAAAAGGTATAATATTTGAAAATCAGACTTTATTTGCCCGAGAAACTCAAAAATAATCATCAAAAAAGGTTTGATTTTCGAACCGACCCCGATTTTGATAAAAAACGTGATGTAACCCCTTGCCATTTTGGCCGATTTGGGTCAAAATTTAGTTTTTCTATTTTTTGATGCCAGTGGATAGTACTGATCCTTACGAGTCCAAAATGGTATAAAATTTGAAAATCTGACATTATTTGGCCGAGATATTCAAAAAAATCATAAGGAACGGTTGACTTTACAAACGAATCATTTTCGGGTCCACATCTTTTTGTAACCCGTCGATTTTCAATTTGTTTGAATGCCAATTGATAATAGGGATTCGTACAAATTCAAAAAGGTATAATATTTGAAAATCAGACTTTATTTGCCCGAGAAACTCAAAAATAATCATCAAAAAAGGTTTGATTTTCGAACCGACCCCGATTTTGATAAAAAACGTGATGTAACCCCTTGCCATTTTGGCCGATTTGGGTCAAAATTTAGAATTTCTATTTTTTGATGCCAGTGGATAGTACTGATCCTTACGAGTCCAAAATGGTATAAAATTTGAAAATCGGACATTATTTGGCCGAGATATTCAAAAAAATCATAAGGAAAGGTTGACTTTACAAACGAATCATTTTCGGGTCCACATCTTTTTGTAACCCGTCGATTTTCAATTTGTTTGAATGCCAATTTAGAATAGGGATTCGTACAAATTTAAAAAGGTATAATATTTGAAAATCAGACTTTATTTGCCCGAGAAACTCAAAAAAAAATCATCAAAAAAGGTTTGATTTTCGAACCGACCCCGATTTTGATAAAAAACGTGATGTAACCCCTTGCCATTTTGGCCGATTTGGGTCAAAATTTAGAATTTCTATTTTTTGATGCCAGTGGATAGTACTGATCCTTACGAGTCCAAAATGGTATAAAATTTGAAAATCGGACATTATTTGGCCGAGATATTCAAACAAATCATAAGGAAAGGTTGACCTTACAAACGAATCATTTTCGGGTCTACATCTTTTTGTAACCCGTCGATTTTCAATTTGTTTGAATGCCAATTGATAATAGGGATTCGTGCAAATTCAAAAAGGTATAATATTTGAAAATCAGACTTTATTTGCCCGAGAAACTCAAAAATAATCATCAAAAAAGGTTTGATTTTCGAACCGACCCCGATTTTGATAAAAAACGTGATGTAACCCCTTGCCATTTTGGCCGATTTGGGTAAAAATTTTGATTTTCTATTTTTTGATGCCAGTGGATAGTACTGATCCTTACGAGTCCAAAATGGTATAAAATTTGAAAATCTGACATTATTTGGCCGAGATATTCAAAAAAATCATAAGGAACGGTTGACTTTACAAACGAATCATTTTCGGGTCCACATCTTTTTGTAACCCGTCGATTTTCAATTTGTTTGAATGCCAATTGATAATAGGGATTCGTACAAATTCAAAAAGATATAATATTTGAAAATCAGACTTTATTTGCCCGAGAAACTCAAAAATAATCATCAAAAAAGGTTTGATTTTCAAACGGACCCCGATTTTGATAAAAAACGTGATGTAACCCCTTGCCATTTTGGCCGATTTGGGTCAAAATTTAGTTTTTCTATTTTTTGATGCCAGTGGATAGTACTGATCCTTACGAGTCCAAAATGGTATAAAATTTGAAAATCTGACATTATTTGGCCGAGATATTCAAAAAAATCATAAGGAACGGTTGACTTTACAAACGAATCATTTTCGGGTCCACATCTTTTTGTAACCCGTCGATTTTCAATTTGTTTGAATGCCAATTGATAATAGGGATTCGTACAAATTCAAAAAGGTATAATATTTGAAAATCAGACTTTATTTGCCCGAGAAACTCAAAAATAATCATCAAAAAAGGTTTGATTTTCGAACCGACCCCGATTTTGATAAAAAACGTGATGTAACCCCTTGCCATTTTGGCCGATTTGGGTCAAAATTTAGATTTTCTATTTTTTGATGCCAGTGGATAGTACTGATCCTTACGAGTCCAAAATGGTATAAAATTTGAAAATCGGACATTATTTGGCCGAGATATTCAAAAAAATCATAAGGAAAGGTTGACTTTACAAACGAATCATTTTCGGGTCCACATCTTTTTGTAACCCGTCGATTTTCAATTTGTTTGAATGCCAATTTAGAATAGGGATTCGTACAAATTTAAAAAGGTATAATATTTGAAAATCAGACTTTATTTGCCCGAGAAACTCAAAAAAAAATCATCAAAAAAGGTTTGATTTTCGAACCGACCCCGATTTTGATAAAAAACGTGATGTAACCCCTTGCCATTTTGGCCGATTTGGGTCAAAATTTAGAATTTCTATTTTTTGATGCCAGTGGATAGTACTGATCCTTACGAGTCCAAAATGGTATAAAATTTGAAAATCGGACATTATTTGGCCGAGATATTCAAACAAATCATAAGGAAAGGTTGACCTTACAAACGAATCATTTTCGGGTCTACATCTTTTTGTAACCCGTCGATTTTCAATTTGTTTGAATGCCAATTGATAATAGGGATTCGTACAAATTCAAAAAGGTATAACATTTGAAAATCATACTTTATTTGCCCGAGAAACTCAAAAATAATCATCAAAAAAGGTTTGATTTTCGAACCGACCCCGATTTTGATAAAAAACGTGATGTAACCCCTTGCCATTTTGGCCGATTTGGGTCAAGATTTAGATTTTCCATTTTTTGATGCCAGTGGATAGTACTGATCCTTACGAGTCCAAAATGGTATAAAATTTGAAAATCTGACATTATTTGGCCGAGATATTCAAACAAATCATAAGGAAAGGTTGACCTTACAAACGAATCATTTTCGGGTCTACATCTTTTTGTAACCCGTCGATTTTCAATTTGTTTGAATGCCAATTGATAATAGGGATTCGTGCAAATTCAAAAAGGTATAATATTTGAAAATCAGACTTTATTTGCCCGAGAAACTCAAAAATAATCATCAAAAAAGGTTTGATTTTCGAACCGACCCCGATTTTGATAAAAAACGTGATGTAACCCCT